AAAATTTGAGGTTTGCTGAAAAATGAAAAGTGTCAAGGGGTAATTTTCGCCCTGCAATTAATTTCAAGATAATTATCTTTGCAAAGAAATATCTGAAAGCTGCAAGCCTTGAATTTGATTTTGTTTTGTTGAAAAATTAAAATCTCTAAGGGGTTACCCTTGCATTTACATATAATTTTCCAAAGATTTGGGTTGTTGAAAATTTGAAATATTTGTAAGGGGTTAACCTGGTATTTCAGTTACATTTCAGAAAATTTGGGGGGTGGTACAAATTGAAATCTGTAAAGGGTTAGATTTGCATTTCAACTAATTTCAGAACATTTAGGGGTGTTACAAATAAAAATCTGCAAAGGGCTAGTCGTGCATTGCAATTAAATTTCAGAAAATTTGGAAAAATTGTTTGTGGAAAACTGTAAATTTATTCATGTATTTATTATGGTTTATTAAATTTGAATCACAGTGGCCAAAGGCCAAAACCAATTCAAATTTCTGTTACGAATTACAATTATATCAATTAAACTTTACATTACAACGTTACTTTAAAAAAATCCAGATATCAATATAAGAATATAAAAGCAAGAAGAAGACAAAGATCCAATCGGGGAGGTCACCCTACACGCAAAACTCCAATAAAAGGAGGTGATTCAAAGCAGAATCACCAAAACAACATTATAAACCCCATGAGCCAACAGGGTAACTAAGTGAGATTCAGAGTGCTCCTCATGGAAATCTTTCCTGATAAACTATTAGCCATAAAAACTACAGCATGACATTAAAATCCTGGCCAATGTATGAAGGGATAGTAGATTTGTTATAGCGATTTTGCAAGGGGTTAGTCTTGCATTTAAGTTAAATTTCACAAACTTTTGGATTTTTGAAAAATGAAAACCTGTAAGGAGTTATTCTTGCATTTAAAAATAAATTTCAGAAGACTTGGCAGTTGCAAAATTAATATCTGCAAGGGGTTAGTCTTGCATTTCAATTAGATTTCAGTAAATTTGTCTTTTGGAAAAAACACATTTATTTGGGATTGGCCTGGATATTCAATACAATTTCAGAAAGTTTTGGGGTTGAAAAATTGAAATTTGGCAGGTGTAAACTTTGCATTTCTACTCAATTTCAAAAACTTTGGGGGTTGTCGAAAAAGTTAAAAATCAACAAGGGGTTAGTCTTGCAATTCAATTAAGTCACAGAAAAATAAATCTTTGCAAAAAAATCTGCGAGGGGTTAGTGTTTCATTTTAGTCAATTTTTCACCTTTTAAATTAAACTTTAAAAAATAAGGGTTTCTGATAAAGTTAATATCTGTAAGCGGAAGTATGTGTGCATGCATGTGTTAATTTTGCTTTTCATTTCTTTGAAGTGGGTGAGTATTACATTTTTATTAACTTTGAAAAAATTTTCATCTTTGCACTGAATTAAAATCTGCACAAGGTTAGCCTTGCATTTTTATTAATGTAGAGACAATTTCAATCTATGCAAGAAATTAACAATTACATGGGGTTAGCCAATAATAAAAATTGGTGATTTTTAAAGGAAACTCAAAATGAAAACTCTATTCCAAAGAAGGAATAAAGTGGTAAGATAAAACACAATGCACATTAAATAAAAAAGAAGGTTTACTCGGCCTACTCATAAAATGTAACACAAATGAGGCTTATGAAAATCTTGGTAATTTTTGAAGTAGTATGAGGATTTTACCCTATTGCTGGAACCACAGTTTCCAAGTAACATTGCATTGACTATGTTCTACGAAATGTACATGTACAGTCAAGTTCCATTACAACACAGTCGAAATTGGGACAATTCAGATTACTTTGCTATGATCAGGACTTTGGAATAAAAGGACTGGAAAATCAAAGAAAACGTAACATTCAATAAATTGAGATTTTCAAAATTTGCTCTTATAGCGATACATGTATTTTGTTCTAACAGAGTTCTAATGAGAGTCAACTGTATAACGTAGTACAATAAAACATAAACATCTGTATTAATTAGAAAGAACATTAAGCCCTAATTCCCAAGAGTGTGTGCAAAACCATTTTAAAATTGGAGGATACAGGACTTTCGGGTTGAGCATAACTTCTACTGCAACCTAAAAACCACGAATTTTAATCAAACATTTCCCGGCCCTCTGCTGCTGCCATATCTAATACCACGCTAAACTCTTCCTCATCACTGCCATAGCAGTGAAATCCTACTGCTGCCACCATGAAGCAACAAATAAAAATCTCTTTGTTAGATAATCTAGTAAAAAATATTACCCGGCAGCTACACCCACTAACAAACCAACTTCTAAATTCAGAATAAAGTGTTAAAAAGAAGCACCAAACATGCAAGCACCCAACTTCTTGGCCAGTAGCTTTCACTAAAAAGTACATGAGTAAAATTTTCCACAACTGCCACTAACCATACAGTACATGCAAGTCTCATTATCTAAACCTATCAACTACAATAAAGTGCACAAATGAAAAAACACATGTAGGTTAAGTAATGGATATCATAAACATAAAATAAAAATATGACGGAATCTATTGAAATTATTACAAAATAGTTGGAATTACGTATTCAAAGTCCACATTCAGCTTGGTGCACTCATTCCCGATTTTCAAGCCGAGTCACTGAATCACCAATTTTTTAATAAACCAAGGAATGGTTTTTGGCTGCCTTGGGATGAAGAATTGTTTCGAATCAAGATGCATTTAAATTGTTGGGGGCAATTCAAGAACAAATTTCAGTTTGTGGTTAAAGGGCTTATTACGTCTTTGTTTTGTTATACTTGTAATAAAGTTTAAGTCAGTTGCAAATGGAGGGGGGCAAGGCAGCCACCCCTACCCGCTCAGGCACAAAGCTGGCCCCTTATCGCTAAAAAGTATCAGCATAAACAAATTTGTTCTTGTGATGTGGCCCCCCCTGGCCAGTTGCACCCGTTAATGTCTGAACCTGGCAACAGGACTGATGAAATTGGCTTACTTCTGGATCATTGAGGACACTTCTGGAGTTATTCATGTACTGTTTGGGAGAAAATTGCTACATTTCACTCATATTCTGCATGAACTGCATAAATCGCTCAGCTTGATTTGGTCTGACATCACTACCAATTTGTACCTAGGTCTTGATTATTTGCTTTATTTTTATGTTATTCTGGTAAATAGGAAATGGAGGCTAACTATTTCTTTAAATGCTCTCAAGACTCTGCATTCGAGGCTTCTATTGACAATTGTTGCCATACTCCGAAAATGTGTAAACCTGACTTAATTAATGCATAAACAACTACTTTTAATGCATGATACTATACATGGAAGCTCCAATATCAGAGATAAGTATTTTTAACTAGAAATTTTTCTATTGCTATAATTTTTGACCTCTTCCCCCTCTAATGATTGTTTTTCCTGACCTTCCTTTGGTGCTTCCACACCTAACCTTTCCTTTCCACTACAGCAGGAGTCAGCTTGTATGACATATCCTACCGCTGCCATGATTTTTCATTCACCTTTTCTTAGCTGAAGGTCCTTGCACTGCGTGTACAGCTTCTCCATCACTACATCCATTGCCATTGGCTGTATCTTTGATTGGGTACCGTGAAATGAACGGCTGATCAAGCAGGTCACAAATATCAAGGATAGCTTTTCTCAAATAGATGAACAAATCTGTTGCAGCGTAAACCTTAACAAAGAATCAAAGTGGAATGTTCAGAATATCAAGAGTTTCCGTTGAAACTCGTGCACATGCAACATAAGCAAAGTTTTCAATCGTATGCAGCAAGGTATGAGACGGAGNTTTTCAATGGGTCAGGGCACCGAAAACCGGTGTAATGAATTCCTCCCTGTAAGCGGTGATTAAAGGCCTTTGTTGCTCTCATTAAGGCATACAAGCTCTTTAAATTTTCCTTCCATTTAAATAAACACTCAAAGACGTATCAAATCCAATGGATTAAGAAACATGTTAAATTCCTGAGAACTTAAGGTTCTTTTGTTTGCAATTTAATTTGCCAATGTAGCTTGGTTGGTTTCTTATTGGAAGAGGTTGTAAGCTGTACCAAATTACATTATGCCTTTTTACTGCTTAGTTATTTTTTTCTTACTTATGCAGTTAGTTATTTTGTCAAGTCTAGAATCCTCACTTACCAGGGTGGCCCACAGCAAGATGTGTCCAGAGAGAGGATTTCCCAGGAGTTGGTTGGCGAGAAGGACAATTGGCCCAAGCAAAATGGAATCCAATTGAGTCAACTCAGACTTTGTCATGTAAGCAATCTGAAAAAAAAACAAACTATTAAATATAAATCACTGAGTCCAGATGAATTAATTCAGACTTTGTTGTGTAGGCAATCTGAAAAAGAAAGGATTGTTAGATCTAAAGAATGTTCTATTTCGGTTTTTTTCTTTAATTTCATCCAATCACCTTAGATCATGAGTTTCTGATAATGCTTCTTTTCGCTATCCTTTCCTACACTGAACATCTGATGTTGATTTACAAGTACTGTAAAACCTCTTTTAACTGTTCAGCATATTTTAGCTCGTGATAGAATGCATGCTCATGATTTAAGAAACCAAGCAAAGAGCATCTTTTAACCACTCAAAAAAGAGCAAAAAAGCAAAATCCATAACTTGTACAACATCAAGTCCAAGTACTGACTATGAGTTTGTTGGACATCTTGGCTTCCAGCAGGGCAAACACTATGAGAAAGATGCAGGGCTGGTGGTCAAACAAATTTGTAGTTGCCTTGGTAACAACAGCCAGAAAGAAAATGGTAGAGATGCCCATTAGTGGTGATAAAACGCTGGTGCCCTGTGGAAAAAATGTTTCAATAGTAATGAAAACCAAACTAAATTCATGACAAAGTGTAATCAACTACATAAAAGCAGGCTTGCCATCGAGGGGTTAACTTTCTTATATTGAACACCGTCTGTTCTTTGATATTGTTCTGTTTAAAGTAACAAACAAAGCAGCCTTGCAAATTCCATCATTATACGAGTATATTTACCCCAGTTGTCAATCTGTGTCCTCGTCTCCAGATATATATGGCATGATTGATGAATTTGATGGCACCCATCAAAGCCACAGCAAGCACTATCATCCCTCTCCACTCCATCCCAAACACCTGTAAAAGTCAACCATACCTGTTACTCTCCAGTCAAAAAGAGTCAATTTTTTCAATGTTTGTCTGTTTTAAACTCTCAGTTAGCCACTTTGCGTCCACCTGTTGATTATTTAAGTTTGCCTTGCACAGTTGGAATCCAGTCTGAGGCTTGCTAAACCATTGGGCCATCAGGCCTGGATGTGTTTGTAGCATGGAGATTCCCTGAGCGATTGCTGGTCGACAGCTAAAAAGCTCCTGCAACCGGCTGGAAGAGCCACTGCGATGGCCTGTCTGGATTGGAGTCCTTTACCCCTGCCCTACCTTTTGGACCCAGAACTGTTGCCCAAGGATCGCTGTTAGGAGGAAACCAAAGCAAAGTGCCAGCTCCGACTCCGTGACGTCCAGTCTGCTGATCCAACATATAAAATGAAATATCAGTGTGATCACAGTACATAAAAACTACAGGCAGCATCCGGGATATTCCTCAGTCCATCAACAATGTAATAAATTCCTGGGGAGAAAATAGAGGAATTAATGACCAACTGAAAATAAAGATTTAGTTGTGAAGTAACACAGTAGTTAGGGTCCTTGGAAAATATTGACCTTGCTTTAAAGGAAACATTGTTCAGACGTTATTCGGAATAATTTCAACTCTCATATATAATACAAAAACTGCTGCAAACTGCTTGCTGGCTAGAGAGGCCTAAAATACAAATCACAGAATTTGGAGGGCCTGACGTCAGGTCCTCCAACTTCTGTAATTTCAACACTGTATAACTGCGTTCCACATTGTCCCCTCTGATTTCAGACACAAATTTGCAGCACGTCTCTGAACTCTGATAAACAACGCCCTCTTTACTGTAGCGACATGAAACATTGCCAATTAGAATCATCTACTTTTAACTTTGAATTGCTAAATACACAGGTGCTGTAGTGAATCTAAACATTACTCACGTTCCAAACCTGACCACCCCAGATATGTAAGTCTGCCAATGGGCTGTGTAGAACATAAACATCGCCGAAAACATCAGAGTCAGGAACAGGTCTGGTCGATGACCAAGCCGCATGCAGATTGCCAACTCAATGGTCACAAAGACTGTTGAACGGACCAAAAATATTACTTGTGGAGATTAACATGATACGAAAGAGTACGTCGTAATTTTTGATCTAATGCTACTCATTTATCAAACAAAATGTCAAAAGTAGGAGGGCATGACGTTTCAATTACAGCAAAATCTTTCTCTAAGGCCCCAAAACATAATGTCGCTTAATATTATTTAATCATCGTATCAAAAATTCAGCCATGTTCTTTAACAAGTTAAAGCAAGTGAAAATGATCAAAGAAATTGGAATTTCAAACATGTTATTCTCATTGAAAGAAGCCTGTTCAATACCCTGTGCAAAGAAATCCTGTCCTGCAGGAATCTCAACAGTATATCGTAGGGATTATTAAAAGCCATATCATGGGATGAACAGTCACAAAGAAAATGTTTGTTGTCACTGCTGACTGAAGAGCATATGACTGACTTGAGACAGGATTATTTGCAGGTACAACTGCACAATCTCTTATGTGCAAACCAACGTTCTACATCTCTCCAAACTGCTACTTCAATGCATTCTGTTGACTCATTTCAATTGTTACCTGTGGAAACAGAGTCGCTTGCATGGTCGACTAACTCTGGCAGGCTATAGTCCATTTTGTTGGTCAGCCAGCGGTAACACTGCTTTCCGTCTAAAGCGTCGCAGATTTGATACAGGAAAACAGTGATTGCGGCCATACCACATGCCCATCCTGGAACCTGTAGAAAGACATAGATTTACATCTGAGAGATACATAAACCTAAATGACACCTGACTTGTGTAAAGGATCAGAACAGGTGCTCTGAACATTAATCTTTCTGTCCATGTGATATTTTACAATTACATATGAAGTTTAAGAATAATATAGTGAAAGAGCCCCAGGTGGACAAACTGCTATATATGTACTAAGCACAAAACTGACTGCCACAGTACATGTAATATTGACACGTGATCAAATGTTGAATATTTATTTTGGACTCGCATATTCAGAGTACAAACAAGCAATGAATCAAAAATTGTGAATATTCATTTTTTGTGGTTAAAAACTGCACTCTAAACCCTTATACATAGGCTCAATAATTAGGGAAAGCAATTCCTTCTGTTTCTACTTACCAACTGACCCTATTTCTGTGTCCCCCAACACCAGTGTTTGTGGTCAAGCTTCACAAAACACTTCTCCACAATTTTTATGCCTTAACACGCTTACAGCATTCACTGCTGTTTGTATTTTTTTTCCACTAGTGAGATTGACCAATATCAAAAATAGCTGAAAACAGCTGAAAAAAGGCATCAAGAAGCTGGACTGTGAAAATCTCCTATACTTTTGTACACAGTTAGTGAGGAAAAAAGCTGAAATCCAAAACAAAAAAAGCTGAGACAACTCAACCCTGGTATTCGTTAATGTTTGATCACTTTTTTCCAAATGCCATTTTGCTATTTCTTCTCACTGTCATCAGTAAGCTTCCTACTTACAACCTGGTATAATTAAATACATGAATAGAAGGCATAATGTTTTGGTACTGAATTATTTAATTCACACTTGCTCCGCCTTTGGCATGATATATCCCAATGTGGGAACTTTGCCAAGTACCAGCATAGAAAAAGCAGCTTTGGCCCTACTTAACAATTCAGCGAACATAGAACAACCTCAGAGAGAAAAAAAACCTCCCTACAGTTATACAAGCAGAACAGCTACCCCGGCGTACAATAAAAAATCACTGAACCAAGACTGGACTGCACTGAATGCAGTTTCCAAATAACAGGAAATACAGAATAGAACTACAAATGCGTTCCCTTTGGTTACGGGGGGGGGATTTCAGAAATTAAAGATGATTATATGGACACTGAAGTCGCTGAACTTACCAAAGAAGAAGGGGCCATGTGGTTAAATGTGTGTAACTTTCAAAGTAAAACAACTAAAAAAACCAAGAAACAAATGTAAAATAAACAAAACCGAACAAGTCAATGCCAAGAGAGTCCAGCATTATGTTCACCATTCTTGAATCCATTTTGTTTGAACCTTGGATGAGAAAACAGCTCATAATCATAATAAAACACCCCGCCTTCACACAACATCAGATGGTCAACTCACAATTTGATTCCACTAGCCTTGACCTCAAAGCTGGCCAACAGTGACAACTGCACCCATTGCAAAGCAGGTACATGTACTTCATAGAGTTTGTGACAGGATATGCTAAATTTACAGGCAAGCACTTCAATGAAACACCCAGATTTGAGTTGAAGGATGGGTCAATCCTCCAACCATTACCTATGGAAATTCAAATAGGTGTGGTGGCTTCCCAAGGCTGGGGCAGGAGGCACTATTTATTTGAACCGTATGGTAATTACTGATCATATCTTAGCCTTATTGTACTCATAATTTTACCTCAAAATTTATCCTACTATGTACATTTTCATACAGATAACTGGAGTTTTCCAGCCCTTTTGCTTCCTCTTTGTAATATTTTTAAAAATGTTTAGAACAACAAAAATGTGATCAAACTCCTCATGTAAATTACCAGTTTGGGTGTGTAAGGGGTGTTTGTTATATAGGTGGAGTATATATGAATGTTCCCCCCTTGATGTCTGGCCTTGACAGAAATGATCATCTGTTGATTTTTACAACTCGCTTGGAGAAATTTCTCGAGCTTTCCCGTAAAACTAAACTTTAGGAATAGGCGACAGGCTTAAATTTAACATTGAAGAGTTGGCATACACAGCTTCCTTTTGTGGGCAAACTTACAAAAGAATGATCGAAATCATGCGACAGACATGGCGGCAACTCCATCCTCTACCACCTCCAGACATGCCAATTGCCAAATAAAACTCCACTAGGGGTATTTTTGGAAGAACTGCAATTAAAAATTTTGGAAGTCCAAGTCAAGTCACAAGTTAAAGCTGGTGACATACAAGTCACAAAAATGTGTTTTTTATTCCTCCATGCTTGACTCAACAACTCTGTCAAGTAATAAGATACAAATTTTTACCCGTAAAAGGAGACAATTAACAGACGGAAGACAGACGAAGGAGAGGTATTCTATGTATTTACCTCACTGGTAGCCGTAGGAGAGTAATACATGAGTACGATGAAGCTAGACGTGTTGAGCACCAGGCCAATTATCGTGATAAGATTGCCGTTAATCTTCGAAGAAAGCATGTTGCCCAGCCAGCACCATAGCACCTGCAACGGGGGATCTAAAAGGGTTTGCCCCTCCAGCACATATCGATGTGTCTTCAGCATTTCCACCTGCTTGATTGTGAGCAATCTCCAGCTCTTCATCTTGGCGAGGTTGATGCCTTGTCAGCAATCCGGAAGGGGGTAGACAGGCGGCGTGCACGACCGATCGGAGGATATATGGACCCACCAGTGTTCCTATAGTTGAATGCATGAACTGACGTGATAAAGGACAGGCATGCGCCAGACAAGCACGTTCAACTCGCATGCAAATATATATTGTACGTGCAGATTTTACATAACTGTCATATTCAGCAACCATATGGCTGCAATGGCGCCCAAGATCCAAGGGCATTCCCTCATTGAGACGGATTAGCCAAGCTATCCCGTTTGGCAAGGGGGTGTAACTGTACCACGTCTATTTGTTTTTAAAAATTGTTTAAAACAAATGTGTTATGGTATATTTTTCTGCTAAAATCACCGATTTTACAGAATTCTGCTGTAGAGATATGTTATATTCTTTTAAATTTTCAGTCAAATTCATGTGACAAAATCAACCAATTTCAGCCATAAATCGGCTAAAGGCCATAGTCTTGTAGGCTGGCCTTATTGTAGAGGCTGTGTTCAATCCGCACAGCAGAGCTCTTTTGACAGGCTTCGACAAACCCCGTACCACCGTAGTTCGTTGAACTACGTAACGTGGTGACATTTTTGATCGAACCCGTATAGCTATAAAGCAATGTGCACCGTAGGTAGGCTCAAAAGAATGTCACTTCAACCGATTCAACAGGTTAAACCGACAACAGGAGTCAACGAACAACAGATTCAACCGATGGCGGTGCAACTCTATTTTAATTGGCAAATTAATAAAGAAAAATTTAAGTAACTTTATAACACAAATGCTAAGGTTTGAAATTCTTATTATCAGGCGTAACATCTTAGTATAACAGATTCGAGTTTTCTATTTGACAAAGATTAATGCCTCTTTCAGTTCGATGGAGCGTAGTGTCTTGTTCGAGGTTGTTCATTACTTCCTTTGGGCACTCAGTGGCATTTTTCACTAAGTTCCTGATGATAAAGTGAAGTCAGGCGTTGAACAATACAACGTAATCCCAATTACGGTGCGTGGTGGGCCAAAGGGATTGACTCTGCACGTCTCTCTGGAAGAGCTTCATTGCATAAAATGAGTATTTATGATATACTGTGGGTCCATTGTCTGGCCCCTGACTGGGTCACGGCTTAAGTACTTATAAGGCATGTCAAGTATTTTATTTGATATTAGATATTGAAGTGCATTTTGCAGAATCGTGCCGTATGATCCGGTGACCCTTATACCATTCCTCCATAAAATCACCCTGAACCCTTTGCCATAGCGCTTACTATTCTGTCGACAAGGTTCTTTCCTTGCGTCGTTACTTCCAGGTACATTGAACCCAGCATAGGAGGAACATTTATACCGAACCCAAGTTGTACGCATGGACTGTATCCTTCATACATGCCACCACGTTACCATGTATGATGGAACTTACCATTTACGCCCGCCGCTAACCTTACAGAAAGCTGTACCGTGGGTCGATCGTCCATTTCTAACATTCGAGAATATGCTTCCATTCGAGAAACAAAAATGAAATGCATTACCGTACAAATTAAAATATATCTGTCAGCCGATACCTCTTCCAAAGCTCACGCGGGTAGGTAAAGATTTGAGAAAGCGTACCTTCAAAATGGTCGAATCTTGAGAAGTAACGCAGATTTCCTACCAGGTCAACGTGCTTTTCCGCTCCTCATTTTCTGGGCTGAGATTTCGCGGTCCCCTCTTCCTCGCTGACGAGGCTTTCACCATATCATTGATGAAGCGGTACACATGAATACAGTCAAACTATACGTGATGCTGGAATTCACTGAGAATGAGACCTTAGACCAAAAAAGAACCCACGGCTTAAGCAAGGACGACACTGTACACCTCGTGCAGTATGTAGCAAAAAGTGGCTTCACACAGAATTTACGCTGCCTCCAAAGGTGTATGGTTGTCTCTAAATCAAACGGTTCAAAAAGGGTTGTAAGAATGGTTTCCAGTCGCAGAGCGCAGGGTGAATCTTTATTATAAACGATCACATGACACGCACTTGTAGAAAGTCATGATTAAATCACGGATGCCGTAGTGTGTGACACTATGCATCTATGAGTGTCGTTTGGCCGGTCGCATTTATCATATGAATCCGATAATTAACGCCATCCCGTCCATGACTACGGACATGAGTCACCGACGTTCAACTTTGAGACAACTAAGAAGTGATGACGATGTAGAACTACATCAACCAAATCCACCGAAATAGCTAGAGCCTGATCCTTCAAGGAGAGTACGAAATTGGAGTGTGAATGTGCCTCGGAAAACGACGACACATATAACCACAACAACCCTCGTGTTGGTGATATATACCACGCTGGTTAAGGGCGAACATGTGAACGTTGCACCATCCGAGGCCTCATTTTGGCGGTCGAAACCAAGGGCCCGTGTCTATCAGTTTTTGAAAAGTGTGTGTATGGGGGAGAAGTATCAGAACGGAACAAATGCGAGGGCAAAGCCCTGAGCGGGCCCCGGAAAATTTTGGAGATCAGATGCTCCGTGGTGTGATTCGAGACAATTTCTGGCTTCTTGAGCAATTAAAAAAAAATACTTTGCAAAGTATACACTTTCATTAAGGTTTGGGGAAAAAGTGTGGGTGTGTGTGTGTGGGGGGGGACAATTGATATAGTATCACCCACTTGGAAAGTGGGGGGGGGGGGCATGTCCTCCGTGTCCCCCGCCGATTGACGCCTACGGCCTCACAACCAAGAATTTTATTTGTATTTAGTCCCCTTGGCGTTCTTTGTTCTACATATCACAACGGCGAAGTCCTAACAAATCGACAGTGCTAACGAATCGAACCAAGAAACAAGCGAATCAGCTCTTAGACATGCCCCCATGTCGTTCAATAGTGTCCCACCCACCCTGATGAATGTTCCATAGGCTTCAGTATGGAAGCACGGACTGCAATGTTCATACGGGGCATGCCTTCATCAGATCTGTACGGTGGATGAGATGCCGGTGGAACCGTACGTGAAACTTTCCGACTGTCAATTATCGGTCAGGGCTAATCGCTGCATGTCAACGGACCTTTTCGGTGCATGCATACATGCGCATAGAATGCAAAAACCTTCCACGGTCGCTTTTCTTTGACGAAAAACAAATGGGACGGTTTGGCATCACACCGTGCATGCGCTTTAAATGTGCATGCGGACGTCCGGTCTGCTCAATCTCCCCCACAAATTCACATAGTTTTTAGTTAGTTAGTTAGTTTAGTTTTTATGTTTTTAAGATGTATTTTTTTTCCAAAAGCTCTCGGACAAGCACTGCATGAGCATACAGTGTCTATCAATATATACGTTGGGTTAGGGCAAAAACCCGTTATATAAATTGACATCATCCCCAACGCAAAAATACATCTTGAAAATAGTTGGCGGTACCGCTGCTTAAGTTGACTCGGACCGGCCAGCCAACCCCGGCAAGCTCGGTGGTTGAGTGGTTAAGACGTCTACACTAGTAAGTAGGAGGTCGTAGGTTCGAGTCCCTCCCGAGTAAGCTTGTGAATTTTTTTCGCAAGCTCCCGGACAAGCACTGAGCATACAGTGTTTATCAATATACACGTTGGGTAAGGGCAATAAACCGTTATGCAGGTATGTTGGTGTCAAAGAGCATTGAGGGCGCTAGACAACAATAGTGTACACCACTTCCGGGAAAGCGGACACCACCATAACTGTAGTACTTCGACTGTACTAAAGCTAGAATAAGATTCGAAGATCAATCACTGGATAGGAAAATAATTAAAGGTTTGTAACTTGTACCTTAAAACTTAGTGTTTTAAATGAGGCCGAAGAAGTCGGATGATATGATTTCAGCAAATAACACGAATAATCGCAATTTTAGGCGTTGGATGCAATACCGACACGATGCAGACATTTGACGTGGAGTTTTTGTTTGTTTTAGTTTGTTTTCAAAAACCACGAAGCATGTTACGCTACATCTCAGATGCGGTGTTTTTAGTCATTCAGTTCTCAAACTACACAGGGTGACCAATGCAACTCAAAAGATAACGTTTATTCCCCCCAAATTGTCATATATTAGTGGTCTGGGGTATCAAAGCATTAGGATGTTTTCTTTTCACAATGCCTTTCTGGATACACCTCCGATATGTCTCTACCTTCTTCATGAACACAAATAACAAAGCGATGGTGCATTTCTTGGACAGCGTGTCTCACCAGTAATGCATGTTGAGTTCAGTTCAAAAAACTTCTAAAGGTCCCTGGACGGAAACAGTTGCTCACTGTTAGAACAGGTGACCTAAGTGGCTATTTTTTTAATGGAATGATAGAGGGCAATTAATCAGTCTTCAAATTGGGCACCAATCAAGAGCTGATGATATACTACCACTGAAATTCAAACACATACAGTTTTTATCTTTATATGTTAAACGTAGCAATCCTTAAATTGTGGACTGCATTTTTAATACACCCTGCAATTGGAGGCCCACAGCCTACTTCAGCTACTCGTCTTCCAAGTCAAAAGCTTGTACATGCAAGTTGGTACCATGCCCTTGAAAATTCAGAAGTATCTATCTAAAATAAAAGACTCCACGTGGGATTAATTCACATGAAGCTCTAACAACATCTTGTGACATACAAATTGGTTCACCTGAAGAGCCTTGGTTAACACGAATGGTATGACTTCTACAAAACAAGTCGCCACCAGTTGAGTGCTTCAATATCAGACCAGACATTGTGAAATAATGGACCGAGCGAAAGTGTATCCCAGGAACTGACAAACTATACCCCTTGAATTTAATGTGTGTCATTTAGGAAGCAAGTACATAGAGATATGACATCACACAAGGACCAGAGCCATCCAATGAGGAGATCCGATGAATTCAGTACTGACGCCAGGGAGCCGGACAGGGCAGAGGGTGAAAACATATCTCTTACTTAATTATCTTATTGTTACAGCCCGTGTTTCCCTTCAACTGCATACCACACGTTCACTTGATCACTTGATTGATACCACCATCACGTCAAGTGCAATCAGACAAAATCACATCTTGCACTAAGTGAGGTCGTAAAATCAAGCCCATACTTTACAGTGTATCAATGGCTTATGTGTCAGTTTTTTAAAAGACCAAAAATGATCATTTACATTGAAAGCTACGTCCGGGCCAAAACTGAAAGGCATGCGAAGAAAGTTTTGTGATAGAATACACCGTAATACCATCAAACTTGCCATTATCAGAGCATCCAGTACAAGATGAACTCCCCCCAGCATCCTTGAGTCCAACGTCTTCTGTGGAGGCGTCAACCTCTTCTGATGCACGGACGAATCAGACACCATCAAGTGCTGGCGTTCAAGTTACCGTATAGGGTGATGGGCATGTCACTGTCATAGGAAACGTATTTGGGTCAACTTTCAATCGTGGGGAATCTTCAGCTGGTACAGAACACCAAGAGGCACACGACTCGACTGATCAAGGGAATCAAACTCCGGCAGGTAAAGTGAAATTCTTTGAATATACGGCAGATTTAAAGTTTATTACGTAATGACAAAATGTGCAAGATTACTTGCTGCCACCACTTACTTGAGTGTAATCGTGGAATTTATCGTCTTTTTATACACGACTTCCACACCGATGGACAAGAAGAGCAAAACATAAAAAAACAAAAAAACACATGAAGCGAGATCTGGGACGGAGAGCTCCTCCACCTTTGTTTTGGTCATTCTTTGATTGCAATCTCAGAAATTCGTTACAGACATCTACGGTGTTAGGTAACAATACTCTATGGTGTGTTTAGGGATTGGGCATGGGGGGTACCTTCCGTCCGATATCTTGCTTAGTATAGCAAAAACCTGTAGAACCAGACTTATCTGACCAAGGGAGCCTACCAGCAGGTAACGCAAGATTCCTTGAATACGATTGAGTCCGAATTTTACACGATGAATACTGATGAACATTAAGCTGACTATAGTTCCTCGCTGCCACTTCTTGTTATGCACTAATCCGGCCACTAGCTCAGGTTGGACGTTGTCTTCATTTCATTATGACTGACGTCCATGGTATAAAAGTTGTGAACAAAACGACCACAAATTTGGTTCCAATTTGTTCTTGGTTTACCTTGTTGAAGAAACTAATTTTTCACGTTTACAGGCTCTTCGTGGCTTTATTTCTCCGTCTGGGGGGGTTTAGGAATTTAAGAACGAACTATGGACTGCAAAATCGAGGAAAATAAGTGAGAGACAACGTTACTTTGTAGACGTTATGCATCCGTTCTTGAGTTGTAAAGTCGACTTGGTGAGATAATTTATGTCATCAAGTCTGCTTCTAAAATTCGCTGTGTGGTCTTGGCGAGTACACTGTTCGAAACGTCGAGTTATTCCCCGGTTCTTCTCAGAACCACACATACTCAAGAGATAAATACATGGTGTTACCGCAATCTTCAAGTTTACTATAGATATAAATTATGTTGTAAGTTGGCTTCATAATTCTAGTAAGTCTTTTTGGCGAGATAATCCATGTCATCAAGTGTACAACCTGCAGGCATGAACTGACTACTCACGAGTGAACGCAACCTGCAGCGTATTTTCTCGCCAAGCCGACTTGCTAGAATTGATAAATCGACTCGACAACAAAATTTATTTCGACGAGTCCACATAGTGAATTCCGAAAGTACACCTGATGACATGAATTGTATCGCCAAGTCGACTAACTAGAATTAGGAATTCAACTTGAGTATTTAACTTATCTCACCAAGTTGACACAAGCAAAATCCGGAAGTAGACCTGACAACAAAAACTCAGCCTTTACTCAGCCTTTTTTTAATGGTTGTGTCTGACAGTTGTTATCTTCCGTAGTATTTTACAGTTTGTAATAAACGTGCTGGAATGTTCAGATCATGCGTAGTTCATTATGATCGAGGATTGATCGACAAAGAAAGGAAAGTTTAGTCAGGGGCTCTCTATATTTGATGTTAAATCTGGTAACACAGTTACTTTCTTCACCTTCCAATATCATGTAAAAAGACGCTGATATTGCCTATTTTAACGGTAACGTCAATAAGTCACTCTTAATCGCTTATGGAGTTAGACATTTGAAGTTATTTTAATTACATCGAAGGGAACACTATGTACGAAATGAAAAGCTTTAGACTCATTTGACTTTTCCCCTTCAGACGTTGTCTTAGTTTCCAAATCGGCCTTCAAAATAAACCAAATTGCCCAAAGACCACCAACTCTGACCAAACAGAATGCATTTCCAACACTATGAATCATTTTTCGCGTAATTTTGCTTCATTTCCCTCTCAGGCATTCTTTCGACTGACACATGCCACTGATTCAATCAATTAGGGGTGCCCAGAACTACATATCCTTGTATGAACTTCCAGAAATCAGACACTTTTGCTCGGAACAAGCTACCAGTATAAGATGAAGGAATGCGTCGACTGCTCTGGCGTCTGCCTTGTAGAATTATTAGGCTTATTCCAATGGTCGTCTCCTATTAGATGAGAATTCGTCGTCCATTATTACATCGTATAATAATAATAATAATTGTGGAACACTTATGAGGCGCACTGTATTTCACAGTATCTGTCATATTTTAATTATCCCTGCTCATTAGGCTGAAATCAACTATCAAAACCTGTCCCAGTGGAATAACTAATATAACTGGCTTCACGACCGTGTAACCTCCTTATCATCATTATTTTTGATATTATAAGGCAGGCGTAGCAGGTGGTGGGCACTCCCCCCCCCACAAATTCCAGGTGCCCCCCCCCAAAAAAACGGATGAATAGATATTGAACAAGTCGAACAAATACTTGCTCCAAGAACCCACATCAATGAAAGATGCTGGTGCCCCCTTTGTGCCCCCTCGAGTACAATCCTAGCTACGCCACTGTTAGGAGGACAAAGTGTCCATTAAAGTTTAAAGTCAAGTCAAGAGCATGCATCTGCATCGGTAAGAGCAGTTTGATGTAATAATGCTGCCAGAGTGTTCGTGTGAAAGAAGGTCAAGGGTTTAATATGTGGGGCAACTTTTGCCGTTGCTTCTGAGGGAAAGAGGAAAGTCAACATTACTGGTGAGTGCTACGATAAATCTTGAAAAGCGGGTGTTAAAAATTAACAGAGTCAAATGTAACCGTTCTGTCTTTGTAAAAAGCCATGAGCTGTGTCTTCACTCACGATAACAGTTAGACACTCAAGTGATATGCAGCACACAAGTAAAATCATCGCTTTAAAGTTGCATTGACCAAAACTACTGACTGAGTGACACTGAACTTCTTGAAAGTGTTTGAAAAAAATATATCGTACGATAGCGTGAACTACCCTACTTACCAACAACACGTTTGTTTCAAAGCAGTGAGTTGTGCTAATGACTGAACATCGGAGTGTAAACCATCTATACTCTTCAGTTAGAATCACCAGCTTGAAAGAATTCAGCTACATGGCAATGTTGGTGTCAGCCCCTGTCACATTGCGTAAAGCATTAGTAATCTTGTGCTTGCCATTAATAGCAGTATCACTGTCCTTGAACGGTCAGTTGTCGTACGCCCGAAGAGGAGACATTAACCTCGGCGGGCTCATTCCAGTTCACTTCGGTGATTGTGATTCAACTCCCACGATGTGGTCCCTGCAGCTGGTTTAAGCCATGATTTTCGCGATTGACAAAATCAACAATAGAAGCGATCTTTTACCAGGGATACGTGTGGGATTCGACATTCGGGACACTTGCTTCAACGAAGATTTTGGTCTGTGGTCTGCTCTGTCTCTGATCAATAACGGTGCTTCGGTGACGAATTTCCTGATTAACACTCCGTCATGTAAGAATAATTCTAGGAATATTTCAGAAAATATCGCTGGAATTGTTGGACCGATGAAAAGCACCGTTAGCATCGTTGTAGGATCACTGGCCGATCTGTACGAGGTGCCAATGATCGCATTTGCAGCTACCAGCGAGGAACTGAGCGACAAGGAGAAGGAGAGATTCCCGTTCTTCCTGCGGACTGTCCCGCCTGATCGTCTTCAGGTCGAAGCAATGGTCGACATCATAACCCACATGGAATGGACTTACGTGTCAATCGTATATCTGGCCGACACCTACGGCATTCGAGGCGCCCATGCCTTGGCTAGCCTTGCTGAAAATCGAGGCATCTGTGTGGCTCTCTTACTTCCCATCCAACAGGTGCCAACGCCAGCCGAATCGGAGGAGATTGCGACCTTGATATTGGGAAAACCTAAGGCCCGAGTTATTGTTGTCTTTGCAGGACCAGAACCTGCCACTAAACTAGTTAATGCTGTGGAAAGTGCGAGTGGCGTAAAAGACCACTTCATTTGGCTGGGTAGTGAAAGTTGGACTCACAGTTTATTCAGACTAAACAAAACACCACCTGCGGGTGCTCTATTCTTAAACCTTTACAACCCGCAGCTAGTTGGGTTCTTCAAGCACATATCGAGCCTTAAGAGGGACACTATTCGTAAGAATCCATGGTTTGACATCTTTTTCAGTCGTTGGGAAGCAACTTATAATTGCACTGTGTGGGTTGATGAGCAATGTGGTAAACCGCATCTTGAGCAGTACACGTCAACAAGTCCTATGGCGCCTCTCACTGATGCGGTCTATGCATTTGCATACGCACTTGACTCTCTCATCAACATCTCTAACTCCACTATAGTGAATGGCAGAGAACTTTTGGACCACTTGAAAGAGGTAAGATTCGATGGACAGAGGGGCCACTTTCAGTAGATACCTTCTGAAGAATGCTCAGTTTGACGAGGATGGAAAGTTCAGGCTGGTTAATGTCGGTCTCTGGGACGCTTTAGCTTCCTCCGACCATCTTACATTCAGCAGTGAGATCATCTGGATGACTGGGTTGACAGACATTCCACAATCTACCTGTAAATGCTGCTTCGGATGCTTTCCTTGCGAATCTCACGCTATCGTCGTTAACAACAGTACAGAGTGTAAGGAGTGTGAAGAGACCAGGTGGCCAGATGAGCTACGTTTGTCCTGTGCCCCTATCATCCCTACACTTATCGACTGGGCTGACCCTTTGCACCTGTCTATAACAACCCTGTCGTGCATAGGTTTAGTTCTGTCCTCAGTGGTGGCGGCTGGACTGGCAGTAAATCGTAACCACAGCATAATCAAGGCTACCAGCCGTGAGCTAAGCTGTGTCAACGTCTTTGGCCTCATTCTAGCCTTTGTCTCCACTTTTCTTCTGATTTCCCAACCTTCGACTATCAGCTGCTGCGTGTCCCAGGCTATGGTAAGCCTCTGCTCTACGCTGGCCTATGCACCGATCCTCCTGAAAGTTAGTAGGATCTATCGGATATTCCGAGCTGGCAAGAGATCTGCTCGTCGCCCAGGTCTCATCTCGCCGGGAGTGCAGCTGGCCATGGTAACTGTGCTTGTCATGATTCAGGTGTGTATGCAAAGTTAGACACCATTGTAAGACAACTTTGCTGACACATTCCACAGAATGTAAAACATTCAGTAGATGACAGAATTTATCTCATATATCCTTCCAAGATAACTTGTCTTCTTGCAAAGCTGAGAAGACATAATGTTGCCATCTTTGTGAGACCGACACTTAAAATCTTCTCAATTCGGAACCTCTTTCTGTATCACGATATCGTTAAAAGAATTTCATTTCTTTGAATCTCTTGTAAAGCGAGACTTTTGGCTTTATTGGCGAGTAGGGACACACTACAGAAAACCCACTGAAAGAACAAACATCGTCAGGTACCCGTCAGCATCATTACTATGGCATGGTTGCACCTTAGGCCACATCGTGGCAATGGAACTGTTGGTACGGGAAAGTAGCGCGATGTTGCCGTGTTGACATACCGCTGTTTGTAATTAAGCCACGACGCTGCGTCAGCCCTCTGGAATTTTGTATGTTGAGTTTTCTTTGTTTCAGACTTTACACGTCCGTATAGTCCACCCTGCAGTGGATAATATTTTAGCCGCGTTGGTGCGATTCTACCTCGATAGATTATTTATTGTTAATTGAAAGATGGTGGTTAAAGACTACAGATATTCCAAAACATTCCTGACGGACATCAAACAATAATTTGATGATTCAAGTTTAGTTCTATTTTTCTTAGCGCATCTAACAACACGACCACTTTAGCAGGATGAATCATTTTATAAACTTAATTGCCATTCCAGTGGATGTCTGTACAGTAAATTAAGTTCTAATACACACGTGTTTGCCAAGAAATTAAATTACTTTCAAGTACGCCTGCATACAATTGAAATATTGTGAAAATTGCGCTACGTTGTTGACGAGTGCCTTTGGAAAGACGGAAGGTAGGTTCATTATATCAGTGGATGTTGACATATAGTTGCCCGGAGACCATTTTACACGCACAATTTAAAACCATATTGATAGACCATGGAAATACGTGTTTATATGCATGGTAAGACCGATTAGGCATGCTTTGGCAGTGTCCCGACGCCTGTCGCGCTTTAAATAGATGTGCTTAAAGTAAACATCGGCCCTGTTAATGTTCAGAGTATAAAACAGCTGTGGGGATTAAAGCCACATTTGCCAGAGCCATCATGCCCAGACTATGGATCAAATGTTAGTCTTACAAATAAACGTATTTGGTATTGTCTGGAACAATCGTCCCAAGCCCCTTCTCTCCAAAGGAAATTTCGAAACGCTGTCTTCACTTAACACCTGAACCAACTTAACACAACATAGGGAGGTTTGTGCATATAACTGTGCAGCCTCCATGTCTTCAATGGCAACACTGGCAATATTGTTTGCGGTTTTAAAGATTTAGGAAATTACAACAACAAAATATATTCAAATAGGCCTATCAACAAACAAAGGCGACTACTGGTTACCTATTCCAATATTTCACACATCATACACCCCCTCCTAGAATAATACTTAGGTTGTTAGTCACATACACGTGTCTAGAGTTGACTTCTAGTCCTTACCATGAAAACATTCAAATAATGTTTAAGAAAAAGAAAAGTTGTTTTAATTTTCTATGACTAGTTTTATTTTCTATAAATAACTGTTAGTGGAGAGGTGGATTATTTACCGTGACTGGGTCACAAGATTTAGCAAATCATTGACCGCTACAGACACTCAGCCACACATCTTACGTCTTACCTCAAAAGTCTTGAAAGCATGAAGCAAGCATGCATTATTTTACCAATTAGAGAGTGCGCTATCCATCGATCAAAGTCACTTTCAATTAGGCCGCACAACCTTAATGGAAGAGAAAAAAAGGAAATATGCTTGTGCCCAAATAGATGTTTGTCCTGTGAGGCCATTTGCGATGGCATGATCTAATATTTTGGCTGAGAGAAAAAATTAAGAGTCGTAGTGAACGTATTTTAAAAGGAGCTGTAGACACTGATATGAATTGTGTTCTTGTCGAGTGAATGTTGTTTATGTTAAAATGTTAGTCGAGTGTAGGTTGGGGACAGCTACACGAAAGAACGAAACTATTATAAATGAAGCCCACAGAAACCAAACGCAGACGACGGACAATGTAACAGACGCAACTTTAACCAATACACAAAGTGGTGTAGGATTTTATTCGTAAAAAGCAAAGGTAAATCGTCAGGAAAATTACAGGAATGGCAGACGTATTTTAAAGTTTTGCGAACAATAAAAATTTGATCGCTAGTGTTACTTAAATCTTTGTTTTGAATCTAAACTTTTTATAGCAATCACCATACACGCTGCACACCTTCTCAAAATTGTTTTCGGTTAACTGTTTCGTCCATTTTGTGTTTGTTTATGTAGGATATTATGAATCCTCATTTACAAATTACGTCGACATGAATTGTGTTTATTTCCCGCATTTTGCCATCTTAAAACCCACAGGTTGTTTGCATCATCTTGACATCAGCAATGGGACCCTGCGAGCCAGAGTACTTGGTTCCTATTCCAAGGGACGGCCATCTTGAATTGTACTGCAACATCAGCATCGGTTTTCTGGTGTCGTGCGCATACAACCGGGTGCTTATCCTGGGCTGCTGCGTGTTTGCGTTCCTGGCCCGCAAGGTGCCAGACAACTACAACGAGTTCAAGTTCATCGGAGTCAGCGTGTACTCGACACTTTTGGCGTGCCTGGCGGCCATACCAGTGTACTCCACCGCCCAAGATGCCTCACAGAAGGTTGCTGCATTCTGTCTGGCTGTGCTGCTTAACGCCTACCTAACCGTGGCTTGTGTCTACATCCCCAAGCTGTACGCCATACGGTTTATTAGCCCGCCTTCATCAACCGACAATCATGCGTTGACAAATGGAGCGCATACTCCCAACACTCAGTCCACAAACACCCGCGTGCATCCCATGGCAGCTCTCTGGGCCGATAAAACAGGAAGGGTTCAAGCAAACCCTCTGAGGGAGTAGGTTGGACTACACAACTAGCTTACGCCTCTTCTCGTATTGTTCCACAAATATCTTACCGCACGCGTTAAAACCGTACTAAATATTATTAAATTTGCACCCTCACAAAAGCTAGCGCCAACTTTTTTTTAGTTCAAGCAAAAAAAGAGAGGCTTGAAGTAATGTTTATTTTATCCGATCGTTTTAGTAAAATCATTTCACTGCATTTCACTGAACAGTGACTTTATTGTATTACTTTCTTTTCCTTTGACTTGTACATTTCTGTGCCGTCTTTAAATATCACAAACTGCGTCTTTAATACAGCAGGTACAAATTTGATTAATTAGAACAGCTTGGGGACCCAAAGGATGTAGAGTAAGTAGCAGAGATATAAAAGCAAAACCAACCAACTGAACCCAAACAAAGCAAACACAAAACCTCTCTTGGTGTCCCTTTCTTACACAGTTGGATTCCTTCTTCTCATTACGACGTCTCTTTAAGCTGAGCATTTTAACGTTAATATTAACACCAGCTTATGATACCTTTAAACACGAATTAAACATCTATTTATGCTTGGCATATAACAGTAATCTTGTATACAACGTGCCGAAAGCCAGACATATTTCGAGTTGTTTGTACGGCGGATATCAATCAGCACAGAAATGAGCCAATAAAACTGACGGAAAGATGAAAGGACAACACAAACTGCTTTCCATAATGAACGATGTACTGAATATTACAACTATACAGTGCCCAACCATTTCCAAAATAAAACCGTGTGCACGTAACTTAGATTTGAGGTCTCCCACAATAAATTGACTTTAGGAGTTATTTATTGTTCATTTAGGTTTGTATTTTCTTGTGGTGTGGGACTGATCGTCGTTGACGTAACATAATGCTGAGCCGTGATACAACTATTAAATACGCTGAGAACACAGACTTGAAGGGGGATAGGCGCGCCTTCATGTCCGTGTTTATCCGCGTCTCCTTTCAGTAAGTGAAAAATTTGTATTTTGAAGCACGGCTTTTTGTCCATGAACAACATAAATGGTTTGATTTTGGAGTCATGTGAGGATTGTACCTTCAAAGACTCTAGGTGCTCCACCAATGGACGGCACAAAGTGCAGGGAATTTATGCTCCAAACTGACGAAGGGTAATGCACGATGTCGTCTAGGGACTAGCATAGGACTGGATGTGCTGCACAACAATTACACAAGGGGATTCGAACCCACGGTTACCGTGACCTTTGATAAAAAGAGTTGCAGTTTCTTGCATTGTGTCGTTACGATTCTACCTGGAAGAAAACAATTGACAAATCCACTCTTGGCAAACCCCCTGTAAGGCGTTTCCATGACAGCGGAAATTCCTATTAACTCTCTTCTGAACCGAGCACAACATCACAACCCGCATTTGTAATTTCCAATCAACTGAAGTCTCAACGGATGACTGCATTTTTAATTATTAAAAAACCAGTTTCCTTTACAAACCACGCCAGTACTGACGGCCTGATACCAGCATCAACTAAATACCTTTTAACAATGACGTGCCAAACCTAAAACGTACAGCCAAATGCTCAGTTGTCAGGTTTCCTGTGAACATCAGGGTGCAATTTGAAAGCAAACAAAAATTCACTGAAATTGGAAAAAAACATAAATCATCTGTGAGTTGGGACACCATCTTGGAGCGGAGACATGTATTGGGGTAAGTAGTTTGCTGCAGTTATTCTTTTTAAAATCATTCGGTTCAATAAAGTTTCCATAATTATGTTGCAATTTTTCTTTCACAGTAACCGATGCCGATACAATATGTCTGCTGTATAATGCAGTGGTAGAAAGTATATTGTTGATGCATTAGCGCAGTGAAAGAATCAACGGGGCAAACCAGAGTATTTGAATCACACATTCAAAAAAAAAAAAACACCCACTCACACACATTTCTGGAGGTAAGTCCATTTTGTTGAGGCCTAGAATTCAAGTAAATCTTGTGACAAGTCACATTGTATTTTTTGATGAGTCTAGTCATTACAATGTAGCGATTCAAGTCGAGTCACTGTATAACGGAGTGACTCGGGTCGAGTCAAGAGGCAATCAAGTCGAATCGAATCAGAAATATTTGAACACAATACGATAAATAAAACATGAGAGAGGGTACCTTGTTGGCATTTTGAAATTTACCTCTGTGCTATTGTAATAGTGGTCACATCGCCTCTCACTCGTGATGATAATGTTAAACACATGACATGAACCCCCAAAATCGGCACTAAATGTCATTGCAAATGTTTGTTTCCCACGAAAGTATGCTTTTAAATTTGGGACTAAGGTCTCATTAACTTTCACTGGAGTCATTTGGTTGCAGTGACTCGATTCAAGTAATTTACCCGTCAGTACTCGAGTCGAGTCAAGTCGCCAAAATTTGTGACTCGAGTTGGACTCGTGTCGAGTCATTACAACATTGGACTCAACGATGATATCAACAAATTAACCCCAGACTGTAAATCTTCTATCTACCAATACAGACAAAGCTTCCGATTCAACCATGGTTTCTCTGCTGGTGGTATCAACGGTTCTAGCTAATACTATGGCGTGGGTCGACCTAGCGCCTGTGTATACGGTAGAGGAAGCATACTCACCAAACCGATACATTGTTATCTTAAAGGTAAAAATGATTTTTTGTTTACAGAACTGGTCCAAGAATCGTATGAACTTAAGAGTGCTTCAATGGACATCTAATGTCTTCCTAATGGACATTCGTAAAAGAGAATTTCGAAGTTCGAAAAGCTGACACCTACATGAATACTTTGATCTGTCAGCATTAATTTCATTCTGTTTGTTACCACAGGAAGAAGTTCCAGCCAAAAGGTTCGCTGAAGACTTCCAAATACAGGCACGTGACCTGGGTGATGCCAACTGTAAAATCATCAATACATTCAGTAGCGCCCTCAACGGTTTCGTTGCAGAAATGACCGAGGACTGCATGGCAACAGTGAGTGTGCTATAAGTGGTAATTATCTGTCACAATTGGGCCATTCTATAAATTCGGGGTTCACAAGTGTCACATTTTATTTGTCCCTGTGTCATTTGACATGGAAATATCACTGCAATTGATTTCAAAATATTTCTATTTGGCAGGTAATTTGCATCACTTCATCACTCTCAAAATTAAAAAATACGTTTTGAACTGACAAAATCGCATGTCAGATGTGACAGGGGCACGAAAAACATGGACCTCTAATTTACGGAATGACCCAATTCACAATAGTAACATCCGTATTGTACAAGCTTTCACATCATTATTTCATTCTTATCTGTCAGGTGCGTAAAAATCCCTCTGTAAGGTTTCTCGAGGAGGACTCTCAGGTCAGGGTGCTACCCTTTGACCACATTGACAACGTCCATTCACTTCCCTTAAAGTCATGGGGTCTAGACCGATTAGATCAACGCAACCTGCCACTCGATGGAGTCTACAACCCAGACGGTATACACTGTCATTTTCTTTTTTCTCAAACTTCCACGGCAAGCCTAAATGAACAACGTCCGTATCTAGTCAAATTAGTCATTAATTTCTTTAAAAGAGAAATTAAAATACACAGAGAAAACCTGCACAAAAGTCGACAGTATTTAAAAATCTCATTACTGCGAAATAATACTTTTTTACTGCCTTTGGCGTTGAAATATTTTTACAATCACCTATAGAATTCTGCTACCTTTCTTTAGGTACCGGAGAGGGAGTCAACGTATACGTAATCGATACTGGCATACGAACTACCCATGAAGAATTCGAGGGACGTGCGAAGATTGCATACGACGTGTTTGGAGGAAACGTAAGATGTTTTATTTCTCACTTCTTGACATTAAAGCGAACTCCTGGACTTTTAAATGTTGAATTTTTAGCGAAATGTCGTAAACATAAATGGTCGAATAATGCACTGATTGCATCATCAAATCAAAATGTACGCACTTAAACTATTGTCAGACAAGAGTACAAAAAAGAACGCATTATTTTAGTATATGCTTAAAGGCAAAAGTCAAAATGTGCTGACCCCTCATTAAATTGCTTGTATTACCCACTAGGGTCAAGATTGTCATGGCCATGGAACCCACTGCGCAGGTATCGTGGGAGGCGCCCTCTGTGGCGTGGCAAAGAAAGCCTCCATCTTTGGCATTCGAGCCATGCACTGCAATGGCAAGGCGTCCAGTTCTGATCTCATTAAAGGTGAAATTATTTTTATTTTTTTTCAAATAAGCATGATATAGTATATCACTAAAGAAAGGAGTAGTTATTGTTTGAATATCAAAGACAGGGTCGCTGGGTACGGCAAAATTAGAAACACAGCCAAAACAACACAACCAGAGTGACGTTTCTTGAAGTATATTGATTTCAAGATTTCAAAGGGAGGGGAGCCCTATTGCCCCGCCCCCCTGTAGTTACACCACTGCATTTAAACATTAGGAACCACTAATAGGTGTAGCAAATGATTATCAATTGTAGCAAATGATTATCAATTTTTGTGTGAAATCTGAGCACTTACAAACTATCAAAGACCCATGCACTGTTGAAGGTCAAACTATCCTTACATTCCCCACAGAAGCACTTACAGGGCTTCAAAAACCGTTGGCAACTTTCTCCATTGATCTTAAATAGCGCCCTCTACTGAATGACGTCACGTCCGTGTCCCTAGTTTCAGTCAAAGGGAGAGAAGTTGCTCTCACTGAAAATTTTCTGGAGACGGAGACTTATATCCCACGTACGCCTAAACCAGCAATTCGAAGAAAAAAATAGCGAGGACTGTCTTACCTTCTTCTCCAGCAATTGACTGGCTGGTAGATCACGCCAGATCCCCCGCCATTGCCTCTATGTCCATTGGTGGTGCGGCGACAGAGGCGCTCGACATGGCCGTGAAGGAACTGATGAAGGCGGGAGTGTTTGTTGTCACTGCTGCCGGAAATGAAAGGGCGGACTCGTGTACGAGATCACCTGCCCGCGTGCCAGAGGTAAATGAACCATCGACCTTGCACTGTTGAAAGGCCTATACAAGATAAACAATTTCATAATCATGATATTCATTATGCTGCCTGTCATAAGAAGAAGAAACACAAAAAAAAACAAGTCCAAATCAATTTGGTGTGCTCTTTCAAAAAGTAGTGTAAAATCACGGTGTACATATAGGACTAGTACTAAGAACAATTTATTAACCTCAGATTTTCAATACACACACATTTTAACTTAAGGTATTAATTATGGTATTAATCAACCCTATTGTTATATCCTCCTAAAGGTCGCCAGACTTAAACTATATATAAATTAAGATTCTGTAACTTTCGGACGCAAACTGTTCATAAATTTGAGACTCATATTATTGCGCAAAAACCAATTTGTACAAAACTTTTCTGTTCCACGTTCATATAATACCTTCCAAATTTTACCTTTGCTGAGCTTGTACAAATGAACCTAGTCAACAGAACCTTCTTTGGTCACTTGAGACCGGAAAAATGAACAGACTGAGGAGACAGCTTTACCGGTGCAAATTGAATCGAAATATTACCCCTCATTCCCCACTGGGGATGTCAAACTCGGAGAAATAGCAGATCTCTCTTTTCACATTCGTATTTTCAATCTTCCTAATGAACCGTTTTAGCTGATGCTGTAAACGATACCTACAAGAGTACCACAGCTGCTCAGTCATTCAAAAGCTATAGGATGCCGCTGTATAATGGACTGCCGTTTGAGACAGAAAGAAGTCAGATGGTTTACCGCTCGTTACATTTAGCTCCAAATTTTTTGCCTCGATGCATGCAACACTGGTGATTTAAATGAGTTCGTTCCGGCCAGTCAATAAGTGTGTCGTTCTTGTTAACCTCCTGTGGCCCCCCAGCGTCAAACCATGCCGCCAGAGAATCATAAAGTCGGCTCTCTTTGTGTCAACGGCCTACATGTGTCATGTGGGAAGATGAAACAATTCTTGCAAAGAGCATTAGCAATTGATTCTAATTCTGGGATTCGGTGGCTTCTCTTGATGTAAAATCGTTACGAGAACTGTGGATTATCCTTCCCTGTGGATTTCCCCTTGTGAAATCAAGTGTACTGTTCTCTCCAATTCATCTGAATGCTATCATAGTTTACCTCTGAGGAAGTCCTGAGGCCGCTCTTGGGCAAATTGGACTGCAAGTATTTTTACCGTTCAGGATTCCAGACCCTAATGGACTGTAGGTGAAACAAGTACGTATTTCTTGTTTTACCCAAACAAGGACGGAATTTACAGACCCTTTCCCCTACGTGCGTCAAGGCAAAAACGGACTTTTTAAAGTACTCAGTAAACATTTCTACATCTAGGATTGAGACGGAAAAGCATTAGATTACAATTTGTTGAAATCACATATTGCTAGCGGGTAGAAACGTCTAATGGAGGAGTTTGTTTTCTTTAACCCGAGGTGGCGGTTTTCACAAGTGAGCAAAATCTTTCACGGCAAGACGGAGCTGTCAACTTTCCATTGACAGTAAAGACAATGTCCTTAGTAAAACCACACAGACAGAAAAGGCATGCTTACAACATGGTAACCTTCAAAATAAGGACCATACACGCAAAGAAAATACAGAGCCAAAATCACTCTTGAAGTTTGACAAGCGAACCAAGGCATCCTCATAAACTGGCCAGAGCGAGAAAGAGATTTTAGACTCGTGGGGATAAAACTGATATCTCCTGTTCATTGCTTCCGCCAATATTTCTGAATTTGCTTTGAAATTATGTTGACCGTAAATTGGTGAATCGAAAATAGTTACCTTTATATTCAAACAGATACTGTTGACTTAAACTTGAAGTACCTGCTTCACACAGCACGGTTCATCAAACAGTCCTCCTTTATTCCAAGACGAAAGACTCCTAGCGAAAAGCCCTAGTGTGGAGCAAACACCAGCTTAGCTGCTCCTGTCCTGTCCAGACCAAAACTGGAACTGAGACGACTACACACTTAAAGACTACACCGCAAGGCGTGTGTAGTGTTTTGCTCTGTGCACAAAATGGCGTGCGTTGGGAGTGGGTGTACTGCGCCATGGTTTTATACCGCTGGCGCGTGCGGCACGCCATGCTTAGTTTCACAAAAAGAAAGGGCAGATCTCAGAAGAACACGCCTTGGTTTTGTGTCTGAGAATAGAAACAACATAAAAGACGTGCATTTGTTGTACGAATAAACGTTTTTGACATTTTCATTCTATCACGGGATTGGATGACGAACAAGCATCAGAAATTTTGCACAAAACTACAGAAAGGCAAACCAGTCCAACATTAATTAAATATTTCTTCAGAGTGTTTCTCAAGTAATGTTTCTACTCATAAAGTCTAAGTTGGATACAAAGTAGACAAGAAATAGTCGTTATTGAAAAATGGTAAAAACTCATAAGAAAAAAAAGGCAACCGTCGTAAGAGTGAGAAATAAACTTGACTGGTCAATATAGGATGAATGAGCATGAAATCTTGAGTTTGATTGGCCGGAGCTACCTCTATTGAAAGACAGGAATCGGTATTCATGGAAGGGTTTCCTAAAATATTCTTTTTCTTCTACAAAATTTGATTATGAATATTACTGTGTTCCAAATTTTCAGTAGAGCTCTAAAAACTCAACAGTGTTTTACTTCCAAGAGTATAAACACGACACTTCTCTTCCCAAGGTGCTGACGGTTGGGGCCGTGTCCGTAACAGACACGTTAGCGACTTTCTCCAACTATGGAACCTGTGTAGACGTCTTTGCTCCCGGTGTGTCCATTGTCAGTGCAGGAATCAGCAGCGATCATGCTCACATGTCGATGAGTGGTACATCTATGGCATGTCCACACGCTGCCGGTTAGTGTTGATTTCGACTATTGCACCATTATTTCTTTGTTTTTCTTACCGAAATGGTGCCTCAGGGAATTGCCCTGTACGCTTCACACTTCTCCGAACATCGAAACAGGTCTTTACCGTGTCTTTACCTGCCAAGGTGCCATTAAAAGTAACAGTTGTCTTTGTACTTCCATCGGCAGGCGCAGCTGCTATCCAGCTTTCCAAGAACCCAAACTTGACAATGCAGGACCTACAGCGCGCCCTCATCGATAACGCAACCCCAGGTGTCGTCTTATCGGAGAGACGACAAACTCCGAACCGCCTTTTGTATGTCCCGGATGCTGATGAAGCCGGACAGGGCAAATAGAGCATCAAAGTACACGAGAAAAGAAGCCTTTAAGGGAAAATTTGAGGACAAGTGTGCTTTATTTTTGCCACTGTTTAAGAAAGAATTAAAGGCAGAAAACTACTATTGTAAAGGATAATCATACCACAATTCACAATTCACGAAAAAATGACGGAATTTCACTGAAATAAATCATTCGTTGAGTGGAAAATCTATGTTGTGTTATATATAGCAGCACATAGCAATAACTTATAATGATACAGAGAAATTCATGTTATCCAAGTGTACGCCTACATTCTGTTTTCCTTGATAGTATTTCCCATCTAAAAGAAAATTCTAAGAAGTGGTTGAAAATACCTAATCAGCGATTTGTTATTAATTCATATTTAAAACGCAGCCACATCAATCATCAAACATGTAATGCAAGATGACAGCTATTAAAAGCAGCTATGAGACATTTAATTGGTAATTTTAAAAGTTCAACAATTACACGAGAATCCTTCACATACTGTACGGCGAACTTGAGTGTCTATATTTGGGTTAACAATTTGAAAGGCTAGCTGTCGAGTCAACTCACCGGGGCTGATAGCGGGGTATGGATCAGGGGTGAGCAGGATGACTGTATACGGTCAAAACTCCAGTCTAGTCGGTACAAGCACCTCAGGTTACACGCTCAACGATGCTTAGTTGGAATCACTTACTTGCTTAAAGTAACGAGAATAACAGGAAGATCGATACATTGGAATTTGGTTTTGTTTCTCTTTTTTTTTGTGACACTTAACATCTTTGAAAAATGCATTTATTGTTGGTTGCCTCCTATATTGAAACTGGGCATTTTAGTTACAAAATAATTATTGTTCCTATCGACCAATTGGGAAAAATGACATGCATATGAGTTGCACAAAACACATCCTGTATAATTTATATTACCAGGCAACCAAAGGTCAAATATGCGATTCCTTTCACTTAGCCGGACCAATGTCTCAGTACACCATTCATAGGAAATGCAATTTTACAACATTGCACTGATAGCTCCGTTTTTTATAAAACAAAATGGCTCCCTTGCAGACAGTGCATGGAACGGAGTTTTACACAGTGATACGGAGGCACATAAACTCAGGGAAAATTTTGTAAGTTTGAGGAACCCGACTCGACGGGCAGACGTTGCTCAACATTGCATCCAGGGCAGTCTCATTTATATTCTAAATTAACACCACAGTAGGCCTACTTGAGAACATCGACAGCGAGCGTAGGTCATATAACGGTCATTTGAAGATGTAAGTGGGATTGTCCAAACACTCGAAGCGTAATCCAAGTTCTATGTAAAACGGCGTGAAAAACACACAGCGTTTTAAGAGCAGTGTGGTTTATGAATTTTACCACATTTTGCCGCAGATGATCAACAACTAGCGGGTCCACTTGCCTGTCACGAAATCAATTTGCATTCCGAGGGGATTTATAACCACGACCTTCAACGTTCTCGCTCATCCTCAGAAAAATCAAAATTCCAAGCAAGCATGCCATTGTAATGTGTTTAGGTAGTGCCAAAGGGTTACGCACATTTAGCTGAACAAACAAATCTGAGTGTGGGAGGGTTAAGATGTCGAGGCTATTCCGTTTTCGGTAGTTGCAGGATCCCAGTGAATGTCAAAACGTGGACGGAGAGGCTGATTCAGACGATGGAGGCTTTCATACCCTGACTATAACCTAATATCCACTTCAGCCAGTTCCTTTTATTCAAGCAGTTTTTGATCATCTCTCAATAGAATGCAAATCTTGTAAGAAACAGAAGAGATGGCCCCGAAGGAGCTGGACTTTACTCTAATCCAACATCTCACTGGACAAGGATGAGACAATAAGGAACATACTATGCGCTTCTCTCAGAATGGACACGCAAGTTGCATCTACACCACAGGACACAAAGAGGAAATGGCACGGATATTTATTAAAAAGACGTTCATGAAGACAACATGCAGACATCCACTGGATGTGCTTCGGAGTTTAAAGCTGCGAGAGTGTTGTAGCTAAGACCTTCCCGCCACCCTGCTATTATTTTATCAGTTAATTAAGTTTTCAGAGATGGAACGAATCTAATAATTTATAGGACACAGATATAATGGGAGAATGGTGTTGCGCATATTCATCTTCATGTTGAGCTGTGCTTTTTCAAAGGGGAAAGTCTCAGTGAGACCACCTCGAGATCACTTTTGCAATTTAAGATGTTTGATATCCGACTTTATTAACCAAATCAACTGTTTATATTCTCTAGTCAAAAAGACATAATTGATCCTCATGCACTTGACTCAAATCTGATGTTACAATGGTGTTCTCTGGAAAAGAGAAGGTACCAAGGGATGCATGCTATGAGGGAAATGGAAGCAAAATTAACCATAGCTTGTCTGAAGCTGCGCGGTAAACTCCATTGAAATTTCCAGTGGGCCATCTGATGGCCTCAATTATTTTTCGCAGGACACTAAAAAACCATTGACTTTGGTTTATACATGTAGATAGGTTGTGTGCAATGCAGTACTTTAAAGGGGGTATGGGGACTTGGACCTCCAATTTGGGGAGGACACGAAGGCAACGAGCTTCCCCCTCACAGGTGCCACTGTGACGCTCCCAAATAAAAATTGTGAGATAAAAGTCTCGACTACAACACAGGTGCCTGATGTGATTTTGTATTGTTGCAATTTAGGCTAGCTGTATGTGATAGGGTCTCAATGAAGTGTTTTTATGTTTAGGGCGTTCATTCAAGTTTCAGATTCTAAGTGAAAACCAACCTGAAAAAAACACATGGACCCATTGACTTCAAAAAAATTGAAAAACATACTTTTTTCAGGTGACATGTTTTTCCACTTACGGGAGTTCTTATGACGCCTATTTTTTCCCAGGCGTGACACTCAACGCCGCTATCACTATGGGCTATTAAATGTCACGTCGAAATTGATCGGCAAAAATGCCAATGGCGTAGCAAAAGAACAGTTTATTGCAGACAGGATTCAGTTTCCCTAAAGTCACATTAAATATCAGTCTTGCTAAATTTGGGTCTTCCTTTCCACATCGGGTGAGCTGCATACAACTGGAATCAGATGCCAGTCAGAAATATGGTCAATTTATAATCAGCTTTAAAAGGGAAAACCTTTTAGCCGGCCGGGTTATGGTCTGAGATGGAACTTTTATCGGATTGACAGAATCATTCCTCAGGCAACGCAATCAATGGTATAAGTTCAAACAAGTAAAAGAACTGATTCCAAGCTCAATCGGTAAATAAAGTTACGCAAAAGGATCGGTTAAGAAACGCAGAAATCTGATGAATTGAATGAAACAAACTGTTTATTTGTTATCATAAGTAAACTTAACTCCATCATTTGTTTATCTTAAGAAGTCTTAAATCTATGCGTTGGCATCTATTTTCATCCACAACGCTATCATATGAAATCTCATTGATGCCTGTACGCCGTGTGACAAAGAAACAAAAGTCCCAACCTTGATCAAGCAGAAATGATCTGACAACGGTCAATCAAAGCAAAACGTAACATGCAGTTATCAATAAATCATTCTCATTATGTAAACAACTTCTTGAGACTTAACCTTATCTGTTAACATTCTGTATGAGGGATGATCTAGGAAGTCAAGTTCCTTATTAGAGCAGTTAGTTAGGTTTAATGACTGGAAATAATAAGCCCACAAGACAAGGCAATGTTGGTTTGTAGAAAATGATCACCCCCTCTTGACAAACTTGTTTGAAAAACGGCATAACCACATAATCTAGCCATCAAAAGAAGTTTAATAGGGCCTGCCTTGTCAGAGATGGTAGCTTGTCTCGACATGACCCAACATGTTGCAAAAATCTATGTAACATGGAAATACCGAATGACTCATCTCAAAGATGGAACAGCTTAACAGACGGCTGAAAACAAATCAAGCATAAATTCAGAAACTCTGAACCTTCCCACGTAAAAAAAATACAAGGATAAAAACTGCTGCCGCTTGGCTGTACAAGTGTCCCTTGCCTCACGAATTAGAAGAATTCCTCTTGGACACACCGTGCTAAGACTTGTACAAAGCCTATGATTACATCACTAAAATGTGCAGTGAAGCATTAAATAGGGCCCCTTGTCTGGGGGAAATTAAAAACAATAACAAATCTCTGGTTGAAGGAGTAGAAGCCTTATGAAGCCTGCGGATCGAAACAGTACAAAAGGCATGGAACCTAAGCGACATTCCTGAAACAAAAACATACAAAACAAAACTTAGCGCAAGAGGCAAAGATTGTCAAACTGGTATTTTGATACAATACAGCCCATTGAATTTTTTTTTAAATTTACTGGCGAGCAAATGTGTGTACATTAGTCGAAGAGATGGTCTGTTTGAATGTCATGCGGTGTTCAACAGCTCTCGCTGTTAACGGACGCCAATCGATTGGCCACTGATGAAAGCTGAAAACTGGAGCGCAGTGACACTGGCTACTGTCCCATCGGATTAAATTAACGAATGGCCAAGTGGACAGCCGTTGATGTGCGCGATCTCTCCTGAAACACTACACCTGATGGACAATTACACCTTTCGCAACTTGATGCTAGTGCAGACTGCAAACCTTTAATGAGTATGGATTTTCCACGCCACAGATCTACGTTCCGATAATGTGCATTACAAAAACGGGTCAAAATGTGCGTGGCACTTGCGATGATACTTCGGCAGCAATTGGAGAATTAAGAAATGTCTTCTAAAATAAAATATAGCAAAGCTGTCTGTTAACCGCCGTACGTATTTCTTTAAAACTAGCCTTATATCATCTGACCTACATCATACTAGTAGCTCAGTACACAAGTAAGCACCTTCAAGTACGTCTTTTTTTTCTTTGAACCTTTGAAGACGTTGTACTGCTTACCAAGTTAGGAGATTGGTTCAACTGCTTGTTCAATGTATTCCCAGATATGGTGCCACTTCAGCCTGGATAGACTCAACCATAATCCTATCACCTTTCTTTAGTACAGTGGCCGAACTTTGAAAAATCATTTTGGCAAGATTTCAAAGAACTCATTTCTTAAATTCACTTAGCCGGGCAGAGAGTAGGACACACACTTCCTCAAGCTATATCAAATCAGTTCACAAGGTTGAACATACTGAGCGTAGACTGTTAAAGCCACCCGCGACCCCTCACGTGTGACGGCGGATATGGAAATATAAATTTTGTACGACGGTAATGCAATTATTTATACGTAAATGAATAAGGACCAGACGGAAATGCCGAGCACGTTGAGTATTTCTTTCCATTCTGTTCCATTCCGTTCAATACCCAATCTGCCAAATCTTGGCCAAATGTGATAAAAAATGTTAGCTGTTCTTATTGTCAAGCAAAAAATAATATTCTGGCAGCAAAATCTATCAACCAGTTTGTGCATTAGATATCCCAGAAACCCTAGTAATGTAAAGACGCTTTTTGTTGTAGCGCTTCATTATGACATTTGTTCATCTTCTAGGTTCTCAGCTACTACATTTGAATAAATTGTTGCTTTGTGTCTTTGTTTGAGCATGTAATACTCAGTGGCGTAGTCAGGGGCGGGGGGGGGCTGGGGGCACGTGCGCTCCTACAAATTCCAAGTGCCCCCCCCCACTAAAAAAAGAACGACTGGATATTGAACAAGGCTAACAAAACCTCCTCCCCCCCAAAAAAAAATACCACTGAAAGCTGGTCTCCCCATAAGATCCTGGTGCCCCGTTTGCGCCCCCTACCAGTAAAAT